TTGGGCTGACACGATGAGCACTTACTAGGCACACTCCTAACGGCCCACGAGATTTGGATTGCTTCTCACCCTTCCATCTGTCTGCTTTTTCTACTTTGTCTAGGCTGCCTTATAGGCAAGAGTGCTAAAGTCTCAGAATCTTAAAAACCAGAGACCAACTGTGTATCCTTAAGCAAGTTATTCCCCTGTCTGATCTTCGGTGGTACCCTGTGTAAAGTGGAGATGCCAATGCCTGCCTCCAGAGGTCCTGGTAAAATGAAACGACAGAATTATACATGGTGTCTGGTGTGTGCTGGGTGCATTTGAGAGTCTTCAGTAAATTACGGTACTGGAACTGATACTGGGCTTAGCACTGATGTCAGAATTCAAATCCACATCCATATTTGTATTCATTTTTATTAGAAATATGATCATAGTAGAACATGCATTACATATATTGTCACAGGCTCATAAATCTAGAACCACAGATTCAGAGACTGAAACAACAAATTATCAGAACCTGACTATCACAGAAGTTTAGAAGTGTAGAACTGCCAAACCTCAGAGCTGCCGATGGTTCATTTCATCAACTCCCAGAGGCTCCCAGGACTTCTGAGGTCACGAGTCCAGCCACCCCAGTCAGCCTCCACCCAGGGCAGGTGCCCCTCTCCAGTGTCCTTCACCCCAATCTGCAGGCCAATGTTTTGGCCTCTAAGCCCTCCTTGGGGTGCCCAGCTAGACCCCTTGGCCCTTCGCTCCTGTTCTCAGACAACCCAGAATCCCAGGAATTTGCGGCCACAGCGAGTGGGGGCCTGAGATTGGGCCTGGGGGATGGTGAAATATGGAAGCTCCCAGAGTCGAGCCTGGTGGGGAAGGCCACATTTTCTGTGTCATGTTCTATTGCACGCCAATCAATTACAGTGCGCCCTATATAAACACATCATGAGGGCTTTGACAGGGGGCCGGGGTGAAGTTGGGTGTCAGGGTAAAACAGGGGATAATAAAATCACTGGAGATTTATTTCTCTAAATTGGAAACTTCATGCTTACACCTGACTAAATCATCAGGCTGAAACTGGAGCCGACTCCCACGGAAAACACATGTAACCTTATCCCATCTTTGTTTAACGGCGACCCATCAAGACGCCTGATGGATTCTGCAGATGCGGCCAGCGTTCTCCTTAGGTTCCTCGAGTTCTGGGCGTCTGGAGCAGACCTGTCCTCCGCGGTCCACCCTGCTCTTCCGCTCGCCCTTCCAGGGCTGGCCAAAGCGGCAGCTCCGACCGGCGGTGTCCGCGAGCGGCTCCTGCGCCTCAGCAGCTTTCCTCGGCTTCCATACCAGGAAGGACCCACGATTCCTGCACCCACCATCCTTCTTTTCCACGAAACCGTCCTCCCTCGCTGCAGAGGAGCAGTGCTGAGTAACGGGAGAGGCAGCTGTGACTTCAGGAAAAGAGCTCTAGGCTAGAAAAGTGTCTGCCCTGCGTTCAAAGCGTGGTTCTCTGATAAAATCCCTTAGTCTCTCCGGGGAAAATGACTTTGCTGTTTCCTTTTGTCCTGTCTCTTCTCTCATAAAACTTTCATGATGTTTTGTAGAGTGAAGGGATGAACAGTGCTTTATCATATGTAAACTGACTGTGTATATCTGCATGAGACTCTCCACGTGAGTCAGGCAGCACTGTCGGTAGTACCAGGAGATGGTAAGAAGGCACCACGCCCTGCGGTAAGGAATCCCTCCTTTACCAGCAGTGACCAGCCAAGGTGCACAGGAGGAATTGGGGAGGCAGGCAGATCAGTGAGCCCCCTCCGTGGGCTGGGCACTGTGTTACTGCAGCTAATACAAATATGTCAAATGATGGCCCCATCCTGGATGAAAGTTACACTCACTCCACGGAGGACAAATCCGGCATCAGAGAAGTTACCAAACTCTCCCGAATCACAGAGCCGGCCAGATAGTCAGCAGGCCATCAGCCTAGGTTGGTCTGACTCCAAAGTTCATTAAAACGTAGGACAAGTATTCTGTGAGGCCTGGGGGAGGAAAAGGTGGGCAGCAGGTTTCAGGGCTCCACGTGGGCCCTCCCCCTCTCCCAGCCCCTCCCTTCAGGTCCATAAATTCTTACACACACACAAACACGCTCACCCCAGTGCACACCGCAGGTGGTCAGTGGCTGGGAGGCTGCGAGCTGAGGCTCACAGGACCCGGGACCCGCGCTCACACCTCCACCACAGCCCTGCCCTGGAGCAGGGACGGCTGGGTAAAGCAAGAGGAGCCCTGTGTGTCATTTTCGGCAGCAGTCAGCAGAGCCTCGCAAAGTGCAAGATGGCTTTTTTAGCCCAGCATAAGGATCTAGTTAAAAACCAATAAATCAGCAGTGAAATGTGCATAGCAGCCTTCTCCGTAAAATCAACATGGCTTGCTCCTCTGCAGGCAGCCTTCTGACCGCCAGGCTGAAGCGGAGGGCTGACGCAGAGCCCTCCTGTGTCCCACTGGGGTCTTGGGGGAGAGGGGTCTCCCCCATCCCCTGAGAAGACGAGAGCCAGGCCAGCTGGGTCCTGCCTAGGCGGCGCCTACGCTTGAGACATCCCCTTTCTAGCCGCAGAGATCAAGAAACGTGTGAGCAGGACCCAGACTGCCCTCCACCTCCTCCGCGCCGGCCCCCTGACACCGAAAATCAAATTAGGAGATGGATGAGCTGGGGGCTGGATGAGAAGGGCGAGCCGCAGGGCGCCTCCCCGGCACGAAACCCAGGACGCCATCTGCAGATTGGGCTCGGGGACCCCCTTCGTATGGTGTCCCGGGAAGACGCCACTGACCTCTGATAGGATGGGTGCTGGCCTGCCGGTGCCCGGGCCAGCCCCCAGACGGACCGGGGCTGGGGACTTAAGGAGGCCCCGGATTCCCCTCAGGACGGTATTTAATATCTGTAAAACTGCCACTCGGGCAGCCAAGGTAAACAGCGTCCCCGGCAGTTCCAAGGTGAGCGAGTTTAAATGTTTCCCGTTTGCCTGCAAGGAATCCGCGCGGGCCTGCGGCAGGGCGGCCCCGGGAGGCCCCCCGCGCCGCCAGCCCCAGGCATCTGTGCGCACAGGGGCTGCGTCTCCCACACAAATACTCAAAATTTCTCATTAAAACTTATGGCTGTGTCAACAGCGCAGGCCGGGCCCCTAATCTGGAAAAGCCATTTCGCCACCCGGTCGGCCCTCCGCCGCACGCCCGGGAGCTGGGCCCCCGAGCTGTCCCTCCGCCCGCCGCGCACTGGCCACGGGCGCACCGGGTCTGCTCGCTGCGCGCCGCCGGGCTGGCGACTCGTGACATCGGCCAGGGCGGGTGGGGTGAAGCGCAGGCCAGGGCCTCCCGCTGGGCTGGCAAAGCGCAAGAGGGCAAGCTGTGGCTAGGGGTGGGGGTGGGGTGGGTGGCTGGGGGGGGGGCGGAGGGGGGCCTTCAACAACACAGCTCCAGCTGCACCCCCTGCAAACTTGTCCCCAGGGGACCCTGTCTGCTCCTGCAGGGAAAGGCTTCGCTCAGCTCCCGCCGGATGCCGCAGTGCCGCTGGCAAGCTGAGGGGCACGGGAGAGGTGAACACAGGGACCTCCAGGCCAGGGAGGTGTGGAAGCACCTGAGCCAGGCTGGAGGCCGGAGGAAGGCTGCTCTGAAGAAGAGGGGAGGGTGAGCTAGCCGTGCAGACTTCAGGTGAAGAGGGAAATCAGAGACCTGGGAGTAGAGAGTCCACCCTGACTTCAAATCCCACCTCCAACCCTTGTGCCATGTCCCTTTCCTCCTCTATAAAACGGGGTCCACGATAAGAATTTAACACCTGTACCACCGACTCCAGTTCCTGGCACACCCTAAGTGCTCCATACACGGTAGTTATTCATGCAGTCAACCTGTATTTGTAAAGGCCCTCCTATGCAGAGCCATGAAAAAATAGCTGGCGTGTTAGGAGGAAACGGGCAAGGTGGTAGAAGAAACACTGAGCGTAATGAAAGGGGCACTCAAGGAGGGGTCCCAGAGGAAGAGATATACACACTGTGACTCAAAGATGGGAAGTGGCAAAGGAGGTGATGGAAAACATTTCAGGAGAAGAAACAGCCTGTGCAAAGGCCCGGGGGCAGAAATGAGGCTGATGGGGAGGGGCTGGAAGAGTGTACATGCCTCTAACTTTCCATGAGCACTTTGGGATTGAGTATTTGGGGGGGGGGGTGTGTACACAAATGCATACACATGTCCAGCATACTTACATACATAAGAGTATACACTTAATGTATGCACACTCCATTATGCCCCAAAATGTGTACCCATATGTGGATGCTTTATGCTTGTTTAAAATGTGTAAGTCTTTTTGGATGTGTGCAAAAGTATAAATGGGTAAACATTTGGATATGAATATGAGTATATTTGTGGGTGTGCCTACACCCGTGATGGGACATTTATGCTTGTGTCTGAATGAGGGCTTGTATATTAGTGTTTGCACACGCATCTGTGCCTCTTTATATCTTTGTGTATGCACTTGCACTCACACACACTTTAACAAATACTAGTTCCCTTCCTCTCCCACCCTGTCTGCTATCTGTGTGTGGCAGCAAGGGGGGCCCAGGTCCCAGACATATCCTTGCCTTCCGTGGACAGCAGACGTGCCCACAGGCAGGCAATGCCTACAACCGGTACTCATCGGCCTGATGGAGCCGCTTCTTTCTGAGGCCACAGACATTGTTTGCTCCGCTCCAGGGAAATAAGAAAAGCACGGCAATATATTTCTCCAGAAAGCTGCAATCCAGGCATCACCCCCCAACCATCCTACCTAAGTCAAGATCTGTGGAGACACTGCTCAGTGGAGAGCAGGGGCACTCGGCCCTGGCAGTGGGAAACTGCTGCCCAACCCGTCCCAGCTGCTCTGCTGATGTGCTGTGTGGCCTGGATAACTTGATTTGCCTCTATGAGCTGCGGAAAACGAAGCCCATGCTTCCAACTCCTTCATCTTAGGCTGAACAGAACACAAACAGGGATGTGGCAGATGATGACCATCCCTCCACATTTTTCAGTGGACTGGATTAGCTGCTGAAAGAAAACAAAAGAAAAGAAAGAAAGAAAGAGAGAAAGAAAGAAAGAAAGAAGAAAGAGAGAGAAAGAAAAGAAAGAGAGAGAGAGAAAGAAAGAAAGAAAGAAAGAAAGAAAGAAAGAAAGAAAGAAAGAAAGAAGAAAGAGAGAGAAAGAAAGAAAAGAAAGAAAGAGAGAGAAAAAAAGGAGAGAGGAGAGAGGGAAGGAGGGAGGAAGGAAGGAATGAAAGAACAAAGGAAGGAATGAAGGAAGGAACAAAGGAAGGAAGAAATCAATCTTCAGAAAAGCCTCATGAAGTCCTAAATGTTCAGTGCACATATTGCTTCCGAAGGGACGAGAATGTTGCCCGGGTCATCTCTGTACTCTGTACTCTATTCTCTTTCTATAACAGTACGTGGCACTTATTTGTTGAATTGATATGTGCTCATTGAGCTATTTACTCATTCATTCCCTCCGCAAAGCACCCCGGTGCCCTTGTCCTGTGCCAGCCCTGACCAGGTCCCCCACCAGAGAAGAAGGAACTCTCTTACTTAAGCTTCACTAAAATTGGAGGAACATAGGTACCGCTTTAAAGTCATGGCTTCCCACCTCCATGGAGCCTCCCAACTGCCAGGAAATGCAACTGTTTCTGGCTGTTAAATCCCACCCCCTCCCCCCAGAACCTCCCACCTTGCTCTTCCTCACCCTGCCCTTTCGGCAGTGACCTTCACGGAGAAATCAAAAACCATCAACTTTCAGCCACAAAACCTACATATTTAGGCGTGCCTCCTCCAATCTCATCTCCTTCCCTCCCACTGGAATGACAGGTGGGGTTCCCCTCCCCCCTGGGAAGCCAAACCCCCCCTCTGCACCCACCCCTCACCACTCCAGGGAGCGCACCCCACCGACTCTCCCGTCTGAACCTTCTACCTCCATGTTTGTCAAACTGACCATTGTGAAGCGTTCAAGGATCACACATCCAATTGGGGGTGTTGTGACCAGCAGTTGATCTAAGTAAAACAGGAGAGAAAATATCAGGATGTCACACCCAGTGTCACAAAGCTTGTTTCGCCTGTGTGTCCACGCGTCTCGGGCCCGGGTTCGGCAGGAAGCATATTCCTGTGGCTGCATTCGGGACAAGGAGGAAGGCACCCTTCTGCTTCTCTTTTGCTGCGGCTTCCTTCCTTCCCAACTGCAGTTAAACGTCCTGAACAATCACAGGAGCAGCCTCTCAAGCCCACCTTCGCCAATCACTGCACCTCTTCTGCGCAACCACCCCCCAATCTCTTCACAACCAGTTTTCCTTAAAGAGTTGTCTGTGCTCAGTATCTCCAAGCCCCCACCTCCCATGCCCCCACCTCCCATGCCCCCACCCCCCATGCCCCCACCCCCCATGCCCCCACCCCCTTGCCCCCACCTCCCATGCCCCCACCTCCCATGCCCCCACCCCCCATGCCCC